GCTCATTTTTAGAAAATAATTGTGGTAAAAAGTGTATAACATAAAATATACCATATTAACCATTTTTAAGTGTACAGGTCAGTAGTCTTAAGTATATTCCCATGCAACAGCTCTCCAGAACTCTTTTTTAAAACCTTTTTATTATTGAGAGTATTACAGATGTCCCCCTCTTCTTCCCCTGCCATTGCCCCCCTCTACCCGGACCCCACCCCAACCCACCCCAGGCCTTCCCCACACTATTGTCTGTGTCCATGGGTTATGCATATATGTTCTTGGTTAATCTTGAAGTGTCTTTAAATAGAAGCACTCATAAAACAAGACTATGTATTGATTTGTGATAATAGTGTTGGTGGCCAGAGGCCTACAGAACCAAACTCTGTATTCCCCCTAGGAGCACTGATTCAGTACTCAATAATTCTGGGTCCATGACTACTTTATAGGACATAACTACTGTGGATAAGGAGAATTGACTGTATGTGTGTGTATGTTGTATATTCATTTGCCTCATATAGGCATGCTGGAGACAAAGAAACCAAGAGTTAGTGAAATTAAATGGTTTGCCCAAGATTATTTGCCAGGCTGCTAAAAGGGTAGATCTGGAATCTCAACTACCATAGTCCAAACTCTCTGAGCTGCTCACTCACCATACCAGCGACTTTTCTTTTGTTTGTTTAATTAGCTGTAGAACCTAAGTATTATAGGGTGTGTGTGTATATGTATATATGTAGTATGTGCATATATATGTACATACACATACACACACACATATACCATTGGCTGAAAGAACAGTGAAAAGCCATAATTCATACAGAGAAATAGATGTAGGTAATATTTTTAAAACAGTTTGCTTTACAATCCCAGTTTAGGGTTTTGTTGTAGTGATCCTGAATCTTAAAAAAGAAGTAGAAGGACCTCTTCATTGCAAAGTTGAGTTCCTAGATCTACAGACTTCATATTCCACATCATGGGAATGAAAGCCCAACAGGCGAACAAACCTTAAAGAATCAAAGCTATAAAAATATGCCCATGACCTGGATTTTTGTCCTGGCCTGAGGATCTGCACCTTCAACTTGCCCGACATTTATCTGAGCTGAACTCACATACCCTATGGATGTGAACACACCTGCACACTACACTGTGTGCGGTTGGATAGGCCTGATTTCATAAAGAGCTGCCACCTTCCTATTCATTGTGCATTTCTATAGAGAGGTGACAAGGAAATTATATCTTGAAATCTATACAAAGTAGATTCACATGGGTCAAGATACTATGTGGTCTTCAGCTATATATGTACATATATCTTCACATACACATATGTGTACATATATGTGAAAATATTTTTCTATACTTCATCATTTATTTTCAAAAGATAAGTTGAATATTTTTGACACCTCCAAAGCACCTGTGTGTGCAGTTTGGAAACCTGTTATTTTTCCCTCTTTTGCTATTTTTCTTCTCTGAGTAGATTGTGTAAGTGGCTAGAGGTTAAGAATCATATCTTTTGTGCTTCTGTATTTGCAAATGGTCTTGGTTTAGTGCTGAAGATAAAGAAGTGGCTGATCATTGATAATCCGATGCAGCCCACGGTGACAACCAGCTGTATTAAGACAAGGATTTCTGCAGCACTGTGGGGAGAATTAGTGTAATGGAGTGATGTCACCCATTTCTGTAGCATCAGGGTCTGGATGTATATACAAAATGGGTGGCATTTTTTTCCTATGATATTCTCTTGACATTTATTTTTTCCCTTGAAAACAAGAGCTGGTTGTGAGGCTCAAATTAACACATCTCAGCTTCCAAAAAGCTGCCAGAGACAAGGTTGAGTGAGGTACTTCCAGCAGGGAGGTAAGACCAGATAACCACATTTCTGTCTGCCTCAAGGCTGTACTACAAATCCTGGAGTGCTAGAAAAGCGACTACGGGGTCCTTAAAAGCTGTGTCATTACTGAGCCAAAGGAACACATTGGTTTCAGCTTAGAATTCTGATTTCTAAGAATTCAAAACTTAAAATTCCTTATCATGTCAATATTTATTGAATATTTTCCTTCAATTAATTAAATGGCTTTATGCCCAATGACTTTAATGATTCTTTTTTGAGGAGCTAAGCTGTTCACAAATCAAGGTATGAAAGTTGATTTATTTGTGCCCAGTTTAAAGCACAACTGAATTCCATGGTGCAGATAAAAATGGATTAACCGCAGGACTCCAGCCAAGGCTTTGTGGGCTAGGCCACTTCTCCAGCTGGGCAGAGGACGCGTGGATTCAGAGGCGGTGACCCAATGGCTTTGTCCTGCCAGGATTCATTAAAAAATATCTACTGTGTTTATTACTATAAGCACCACTCAGAATTTATTTAGCAAAATCTCTACCTCAGCCCCAGAAAGAATGCAAAAGCAGTAGGAAGATTCCACAATGTTCATCCATAGACTCTTGTTTATTTTTCAGTGGAGGTTATTGCCAACCAGAGTTCTCTCGCTTCAGGAAACGCTGTCGGAGGATGAGAGGAAGCACAGAGAAGCTCTGGAAGATCTTCACATGGCGGTCGATGAGGACTCGAGGAGCGAAAGCAGCAGCGCGGATGAAGGCAAAGAAAAGACCAAGTTGCTGTTAGAAAGACTGAAAGCTCTAGAGGTACGAAATGAAACGATTTTTACACATTTAAAGAAAAATAAGTGTTCTGCTTCTTTTGTTGGCGCTGGTTTTGAGTGACTATAAATGTTTCCTTCTCGAGTCTCAGTTCCCCAGACTAATAGGATCCCTCTCTCCCATTGTGATTACTCTGTCGGTGAAGGGCTTTCATCTGCAGCGCTCAGAGACTCCTGGCCTAGTGACTGTGATTGTATTGCCTTCAAAAAGAGTGCAGCAGACAATGACTCACTTTAAATTCAGTTCAGTCCTCACGCTGGACCAGTTCTCCTAAAGTTGAAAGAGGAGCTGTTCGCTATTTCACTTTGTTTACCCAGTACCTGATATAATGGATGAGTGAGTGGATTAATAAATATCCAATAGTATGTAAGCATGATTGTAAAAAGATAAAATTTTAAGCAGAATCATCACTTTTTTAAAAATCTGTGTGGAAGTTCAGTATAGAACATTAATGTAGAGGTGAAGCTTAGCTAAAGGTGCCTGAGGGAGGTTCTTGAACTTTCATAGTCCTTTAAAGCGTGTTTGAAACTGCTGGTCTATTACTTAAGGGCATTTGACGTCACTTCAAGTGTTAATTCCTGAATGTGTCTAGCAGCCCTCAAAGAACATTCCAGTTATTAGTTCTTGATAGATTTTTTACATGCTGAAAGATTCAGCAGATGCCTTTTTCTAGGAGTGGGTTTATCTCATTTTAATAAGTTTTCTGTTAGCATGTACAACTGAGACATAATTATTTTAAGCAAGGAATATGGGTGGCCTGTCTCTTCTTTTTATTTTTTTAAAATATGTTTTTATTGATTTTAGATAGGGAGAGGAAGGGAGGGCGAGAGAGAGAAACATCAATGAGGGAACCATCGATCGGCTGCTTCTTGCACACCCACTACCGGGGATTGAGCCCACAACCCAGGCATGTGTCCCTACCAGGAATCAACCTAGCGACCTTTCCGTGCATGGGACAGTGCCTAACTAATTGAGTTACACCGACCAGGGCCGCCCATCCCTTCTTCGACTAGGTGCAAGGGGCCTTCAGAACCTCTGCAAGTGTAGCTCTCCCATCGGGCCTACAGAATTATGACACTTCAGCAGGGTGAAGACCTAAGATTCGAGACATCTTGCTTTCTATGGCTGGCTCCTGAAATCTTGCCTTGAAGCCACCAGGTGGTCTATCGTGGGCATACTACCCTTTTTACTCTAATTTCCTCAGCAGTAGTAGAGCAACAGTGTTGAGATTATGGATTTTGGAAGCAGATTCCTGGGTTTGGCTTGAATCCTAGTTGTACTACTTTCTAGTTTTGAAACCTTGGGCAAATTAATTAGGCTCTCTGTGCCTCTGTTTCTTCAACTGCAAAAATGGGGCTAATAAGAGTGACTCACCTAACAGGGAAGTAATGCGGGTTCAGTGAACTAGTATGTGTTTGTACAGAGTGCCTGGCACATGGGCTCTTCTATCCACCCGCTCCAAGCCAGCGTGCCTGCCGGTCCTTCATTCATCTTCCCTGTATCTGGACACAACGATCAACAAAACCCCTGTGAATGAAAAGCTCCAGCCCCTGCACACAGGAGGGACTGAAGGGAGATAGGAAAGCAGGTGGTGTCGCACATGGGCAGAGAGGTCAGTTTAGGGAACCTCCCGCAGCTCCCCTTGGCCAAACGGCCAGAAGTCACTCCTTCCTTCCAAAGTTCTCCTCCCTTTTTCATTTTGAAGACAGTCACTGTGAAAAGTGGGAGCGCCTTCTCAATGGACACCAGAGTTTCCCTCCGAGAGCTTGGGAAACAGCTCTGTCTTGAGGATGAATGAACTGGATTTAACAATAGGGATGAGTGGATATTACAAGTTCCTGCTTCCCTAGAACCACGTACTTAAGTTGTTAGTTTTACTTATGGTTACAGTGAAAAATGCTTAGTTTACCTAATTATCACTGACAAAACATTGTGAACAGCATTTTATTTAATCAAGCCAAGAGGTATTTAGAACATATCTTTGGCAGTGTTTCTTAAGCCCTTACTGAATAAAAAGAAGCAGAACCTCTCCTTTTAATTTTACTTTTTGACTTTCACAGAGACCTTTCTACTTCAGGCAACAACTCTCGCATCCAGCATTAGTTGAATGCAATAGGTGCTATTTCTAAGTGCCGTTAAGCTTCACAATTTTAATTCCCTAAAATACTTTATTTTCTAAGTTAATTTTCTCTAGGCAAAGTGTTACTGCTTGTTTTCTAAAATTCTTTGCTCAATATTAAGTTGACTCTCTCCTTGCCCCCATATATCTTACTATTTATTGTCTACAGGTAATAAAAAGAGATCTCCATTAACTATATATAATATATGTATATACCTACATATATAACCACACACACATATATATATCATCCAATTTTTATATGAATTTCATGTTTCTTTATTTTTTAAAAAATTTATTATATGTGCTTTCTGTATAATCATTTACATTAAGTTAGCAATTATTGTGTGCAAATAGAAGGCTCATTCTAGAAGGCTGCATTCAGAGCCAGTCAAGGCCCCCCCCACAGGTTTATACACCTCAACCAAATGCTATTCCGGAAGATTGCAGGGGCATTAAATATAATTCTTCAAAATTACTTGCCCAAATTATGATGCTATACAGCAAAATTTTAGAAAACCAAAAACTATTTGTCATTGGTGTGTTTTTGAAACAACCAGTACATGTACCCTGACCTCTTGGCCCCTGGTTGTAGGGAGCACCAAAGAATGATACTCAGGGTGGTGGGAAGCAGCCTCCTTAATTCATGTTCCCCAAACACATCCCAAGAAGCTGTGGAAAAGCAGAGGAGATGCAGAGGTGACTTCTGATAATGCTATAGTTTTGATTACTATCATGAGAATATTTTAAAACAACCAAGGTTGAGGAGCCCGTGACTTTGAGAATTGAGTAAATATGGTCCAAGCACAGTATCCGTCAGCCTGAGGAAAGTCAAGTGCCACCCCTACCCCAGAGTGTCCCTTCCTGGGGTCCTTCCTGGGCCTGAATTCCTACCTGCACTTGATTTTAAGTCCTTCTTTCTCCTTCCCAACCTCACGTAAAGCAGAGCCCTCTTTACTCAATTTTTTCCCCAAGTCCAACCCCACAAAGGCTATGTGCTCACGGCAGAATATTCCAAAGGCCAAGCGCTTTGACCTTGGTCTCAGCCGGCTGTTTTCTCTAAGCCCTTCAGCGCCAGGACACTTCACACGTACCCCTCTCCTTGACCCCAGCCTCCTACCCCGAGCACGGCCGGCTCTTTCCTGCTCTCTCTCAGCCAAGTTCCCCATCACTGACCATGCTGAGATTTGGGGGTCTGTGTACCCCACTCACGGTGTCACTCCATGCGCCTCCCAGGGCTCACCGAGGGCTTTGCTAAATAAGACATTTACCTTCCAAGGACAACTCTAGGGCCAGCAGGCACAGTGATAGCACACACACCGCACGTGTTCCCCCTCTCTTCTTAGCAGTTGCTTTCTCTACTCGGTGTCTTGGTTTCAGCCATTTTCAGTTGTTCATGAAGAAGAGAAGGCCACTCACCCTCACCTCCCCGCAGCGACTTCCCCTGGAACTAAATTATAATATTTGCTTAGGGTCCCGCTGTCTGGTGGAGAAACCATTTGGTGTATTTATGTTTCTGCCCTAAGGGACCCCCTGGGCGATATGGATGCCACTTGAACATTTTCTGGAACTTTTAAGTGTTAGATATGGTGTTTTCTATTTTTTTCATATTTAGACTTCCAAGGCTGCTATTTCAGAGACTGCTTACTGAGAATAAAGCTCACCATTTTTAACATGTTGCAGGCCCCTTCTGTCAAAGACCACTCCTCACCCCACCTCATCCCACACCACTGACTCAAGGATTCTTCCCAGATTTGACCTCCATAATGTATTGACTGGACCTTGTGTCGTCTCTGTTCTCTAATCCTGGACTTCAGCCTCAGGCCCAGGCTTGCTTATGGCATGTCCCTTGAATACAGGATTTGCCTGTCTCCAGGCCCCCTTCCCGCATCCCCTCAGCCCTTCCTCCCTACTCACTGACCAACTTCATACCTTACTAGAAATCGGGGTGAGACCCCCTTAGCTCACTCTCAACTCCCAGAGCATCTCTGACTCCTAGACTCTAGCCAGGGGGAGAAGAGGCCTGAGACCACCTGGGAGTCCTGAACCTCAAGGACCTAGAGTCTAGGTAAATGCCGATGCTTTAGTTATAGCCTCAAGGTCAGAAGAACGTGGCTTCTTACAGAGAAAAACCTATTTCGTGCAGAAAAATATGGTAATTCCATGTGCTAAAGTGAGTAACAGCTTTCTCTCCTCAGTTATACCTTTCTGTGAAAGTATGACAGTTAAAATGCTAGGCATAAGCATTTTTTGTTAATCAGTAATTCCTGTTTAAAATGAGGTAGTTTAATTCTCAAACCTGGCTGCACATCACAATTACATGTTGAGTCCGTAGTTGATAGATATTTATTTAATACCTTCTGTGGGCCGAACACTGTTTAGACACGGGGATTAGATCTCCAAGCCATTGAACTGAGACAAAAATACATATTTAATAAAATAATGAATAAGAAAGGAAACAAATGAACAGACAAACAAGTACCTCTGAACAAGAAAAATGAGCTGATATGGTAATAGGAGAGTAAGGATGGAAACGAGAGAGGTATTTACCTCCAGCGACCTCTGATGCTGGGCCCGCTGCGTACAATATAAATGATAAAAGGGAGCCAGCTGAGTGGAAAGCTGGACAAAGGACCAAAAGAAACTGCAAGTGTGAGATCCCAAAGATGGTAGAAAGCCTGCAAGGTAGAGAAACAGAAATAGGAACTTTGTCCAGGGACATAAAGTAGAAGGTTAAAAAATGGAAAGAAGATGAGTTGAGAGAGGTAGACGGGGCCCAGACCCTGTGAAGCCTCACAGGCCAGAGTCACAGTAAAGCCTTGGAGCGTAATTACAATGTAAAGGAGGCCGTTAGGGATTTCTAACT